TGGCTCGCTGATTTTCACTGTATTAGTGTCATTTGGCTGTTATTCCCCTGTCTGAAGTCTTTATCAAGCACATTTGTACACTTAAAAAGCCAATTAGGTTCCAGTTCCACTTACATTGCCAAGGAACCAGCATTTTCCAGGAGAAAACTATCTGGTGATGTCACGTTTCTCTTATCCCGTGCTACAGAAACCAGGTTTCACTTTAAAGATCTATAAAAAGTCCAGTGTGAGGATTTAGAGGTATATATTGGCAGAAATAGAATATAAAAGGGTTTAAATCACCAGGTCTGTTTGTGTTAAAGTCGAAGAAACCTCTATGAATAATTCAGCTCCCAGTAAAAACCTTCTGAACCTCTGGGATAGCATTAAGGTTGGAAAAAGGTCAACACAAAAAGTTCAGCACACACTGGCAGGTGTCAGGCTCGCTGCTCGTCTCCAACATGCAAGACAACATCAGAAAAACACTGATTTGTAACATGAAACTGATTTATTCAGTGTTTTAATCACCCGATCTGTTTGGTTTGGAGAGGAAGAGACCTCTGTGGATAATTTTGCTCCTGAGCATCTGAATATTAAATTATCAGAGAAGAAAGGTGAGCACATATTAGCAGGTGCTGGGCTAACAGCCTGGCTCCCACATGCCAAACAGCATTGGAAAAACACTGATTTGAAACATGAAACTGATTTATTCAATGTTTTACCAGTTTTAATCACCTCGTCTGTTTGTTTTGGAGAGAAGAGACCTCTGTGGATAATTCAGCTCCCCATAAAAACCCACTGAACGATGAACACTGAAGGAATACTAACCAGGAGAAGTTTCAGCTGGTTGCAATCTGCAGTCATCCCTGCTAGCTGCCATTAAATCCCCCTAAACCTTACACATTGGACCTTAAAGAAATCATCTTACTGAAGAACTGTAACCAGGTTCTTGAAGTGTGTGGAAACGTACAGACTGGAAAAAATTGACCACACGTTCTTGTCTACAGTTGTGACTATAAATTGTGAGTGTAGAAGTCGTACATTCTGACAGCGCAGAGGGTAAATAAAACATGTTCTGTGATTTAAAGCAACATCCAAAACTAGTGTCTGTCCTGCTACACATGAGGTGAACTCATTACCCTGGAAACCCTTATCCAGGGATCCTAAACACTACAGGGAGGTCTGGAGATGCATGAAAGAATAATTTGGTTATTTTAAGTCCTGGAACCATTTTAAAATTGTGGGAGAAATCTTAGAGAAGAATGAGAAATGCTGTTTTATTGCTCTGAAATGCGCATACCCCATGGTTTTAAATGCCTCTTAAATGTCATCTCACATATATAATTGCGCCTTTATGTCTTTTCTTAATTTAGCTGTGAGCAATGATCATAATGACCTTTGTTCGTGGAGTTATTATCAAGCATAAATCAAGCTGAACACCAGAGCTAATCAAATTCAGAAATTAAAGTCTGGAAAAAGAAGAAAGAGGACACTGATCATGTGTGAGAAGGCTGTTTTGGCTCTTATGATTATTTTCACCACACAGAGAGGCCTGAGGGCTTCTGCACTTTAATCTGTGTGTTTCTTTATTTTCCATTTGTTCCCATCTGCCCACCACTCCAGGTGTTGGGGGGGAAGTTCTTCACTTTGAACTCCAGAAGGGCCTTTTTCCTGACTGTGTTCAAACATGCTGGGACGGCCCACCTGTCTCCCTGCCCTCTCCTTTTTCCCACAAACCCCCTCCTCCTCCTTTCCTTTCTCCTCCTCCTCCACCACCACTCCTTCTTCCCTCCTAAAACACCAACTGAACCATTTCTGTCTTTACATCCTTGCTCTAACAATTACCCCCCTTCAAAGCCGGGGGGATTAGTAACACGGGAGGCAGGATGTGTTCTCGTGCATTTACATGACTGCAGGTAGTTGTAGGTATGTTACTGCGCGCTGTTTAAGCTTTACTGTAATTATGCTGATAACACAGCAGGAAAGAAGCAGGAGTTCATCATTATTCTGCATGGGAACCACTGAGAACCATGTTTAAGGCTTTTTAAGAGAGATTACCAGTTGTTGCGAGACACAAGTGGTGTTTTTCTAAAGTGTACAGCAGCAGATTTCTTTTTTTTTCTTACTTAGGCTTGACCAGTAAAAGGAGAGATATCTATTGGCTGAAGCACTTCAAAGTACAACCAGTGCTGACAGTGAATGTCTTTAACTGTTTCATCTTTTACCCTCCTTTGGGTGGAAAATCTCCTGAAACAGCACTCAGGACATCACTGGATACAAAGGCCTTCCACTCAAGTCTGACGTACGTTATTTCTTTAAGAACCAGAAGCTCTTTATGGCAAAGTGACCCACCATCACACCTCGTCTTTGGTGGGGAAATTTTAGCCCAGTAGCCAGAATAAAATGTTGGCATTGCACATTTCTGCAAACCACAGATGTTGCATTTGCATGTTTCATACCTATCATATTAGTGTTTCTAATGTGAGGTAGTACACAGGCTTATTTCGTCATCGGGAGGAGGAGGGGGACATGGATGGGGTATCACCTGCCAAGCTGCAGACCACAGTTCGAGACTGACAAACAACAAAGTGGGCCCTGTCCAAATACCCGCACTTGTGCCCTGAGGTCTTCCCTGAAGTGCACTTGCCAAAAGTGCAGTTAGGGGCGTAAGTGCGCAAGGGACCGACGCTGTTTAAAAAGGAGAATTGGGACAGCTGTGTACACGTCACTTCCGTTTGGGTCCAGCTGGTCCGTCTCCTAGCAGATGAAACATGGCGTTAGAGGAAATAACGTTGTTCGCAGCACTGCTGCTGCAAATGATAAATAGATACAATCAGCGAATGATGAGGAGGATTAGGAGCCGCAGGAGAAGGCGGCATCTACATCAGATCCAAGTATTGATGCTGATGCCCAACCAACAGGTAAATTAAATTAAATTTTACTCTTGAATTTACCTGTTAATAATGTGTATATTAGCTGTAACATCTTTTTTTACTCTACAGTTAACATAGCTCAGTTGATCTCGGTTATTTTGCTTTCAGTTTCTTTCAGTTGCTTTCTCCTTCGGCTTCCCATTGGTTGGCTGTTCGAAACGTCACAACACTACAGAGGATTCTGGTTCTGGATTCTGGCGCACTTTCAGAAGGGGTGCATTAAGGACGCAGATTTGCACCCCTTGATAACAACAGAAGACAATTGGGACACCCTACGCATTTGCGCCCCTTAGCGGGAGCGCGCAATTAAGGGGCACTAGGGCGCAAGTGCAGGTATTTGGACAGGGCCGTGGTCATGACTTTGTTAAGCCATTTCTGCAGCTTTTCAGCCCCCAAACATGGGTGTTTTTAGTAACCACTTGCTGTTTTTTCAGCAGGGATAGTGGCACAAAAACCAGGTATTTAAAACTAAACATGATCTTTTCCAAACCATAACCAACTGGTTTTTGCGTCTAAACCAAGTGGCAACCTCCAAGGCTTCATGCACCACTGCTCAACTTTTAATAAGAATGTACAAGGCCTTGCCCCCAGCGCTGTATCCAGTTCTCTCTATACATCTGTGGCAGCAAACTCTGGGGCTGAAAAACAAAGCCAATGCTGGAATGCCAAAACTTGCAGTTCATCGAATGGCCACTTGAGCTGGCTCCAAGACAAAGTAAATCCCCATAGGCCCCCATGTTAAAATGCCCAACGTTACAGCAGAAATAAACATATTTACAGTCTGGTACAAAAAATGGTTTTGGTCTCTGTAGCAAATTCGAACATTCATGACAACTGAACAGGTAATAAATGATTTTATAACTCATGTGTTTCCATTTGGTTAAGGCCCAAAGTTACACATATTTAAGGGCGGGGACGCTAAGCATGGCAGGCTGTCTGTGAGGTGTCACCACAGCCCAAGAGTCAGATCCACCCCTCACTCCTCTACAGCTCCACCATCTCGTCCAAATATGGTCACTTCTGGCTCCAAAAAATGACAGTGGCAATGGCCAAATTGCCCAACTTGAGACCTCAAGATGGCAGTCTGCGTACCAATCAATGACGTCAAGGTAGCTATGTCCATTATTTCATACAGTCTGTGGCCTAAACCTAACCACGCATTAAAAAAAGCATTGTTGAAATGTCAAGTGTCAACATATGTGCTAAGTAATAATAGAAGACAAACGCAGCTTCACCTGAGACTTTTCATGTAACCGCAGTCAGAGACAAACTTACATCTTATCAGCAACAGATAACAGACAATATCACAATATTGGATAACTGTAGTGGTGAGGAGAATACAAAAACAATGTGTCTAAAAAGTACAACGGCATATATCAACTGACATCTCTGTCTCAAACTCCACTTTCTACGGCTCAAACTTAGTGCAACTGGGCAACTCTCTGCAGCCGGCACAGAGGAACAAGGCGACTTCCATCAGTCGAAGCCTAAAGCCAAACACGACAAACTTAAAACATTATAATAAGTCACGAGCCAGGATATGAGGATCCTGCAGCAGGGTTTAAAAGACTATAAAACAAAAGCCCAACTCCTGAGCAAAACCCCGAATGTTACTCAGCAGAGCCACGGGAATATAGCTCATCACAAACTTCTGTCTAACTTTGAAAAGAGCCTAACCTTCAATCGACAGAGCAGCGGGAGTCGACGGCTCTTCTTTTAGCAGCCAGGGCCTGCCGCCGAGCTGCATCATACTCCCTCTCATCGTCATTATCATCCACAAAGTCAGTATGAGGCATGCATTATAGATGAGACACATCTTCTCGGGTACATCTCAGACAACAGAGGATGTACGCAGCAATCCCTACTGATCATACACACGCCTTTTACCACCTATCTCTGCACATACACACATCTTCAACCGTCAGTCATGCTAACCTGGTGATGTCCCCTGTGAATAATACATGAGCAAATACCCATTAAGCTTCACAGAAGGACTCGAGATCCTAATTCTGTGAGTGGACGGGGAGGAAATCTTAACCAGTGATACCAGAGAGGTAAAATAGGACAAGACAGGGTGGGTGCACCTACCGCATACAGCGATCCCTCGTAGGTACAAGCTCCTGGGATGACAGACAGATAAGGGAGGGGGAGAGAAAGACAGAAAGCATTAGAGTCCAGTCATGATCACACCTTTCATATGTCAGGAAGCAGGGATTATGTAAATCTGATCCTGTAAGAGCTCAGTGTCATGTGTGTTGCTGCATAATCAAACTCTGAGAGTGGTCAACATGCCCAGAAAAATGGTGAATAAACAGATTGTTAATCCCTGTGGGAGAATAATCCAAGAACAAACATTTAAAATCTCCTCAGATTGAAGCAGAGACATGAAGTCGTTTTAAAAAGGTTACAGAAATTCAGATGTCACTGTTACATATATATGAGCTCATGTTTAATGAACGTTAAAGTTTGATTTAGTTTGAGAAGCAGTTATAAGCCCCTTTTACACTGTGGGCTCTAGTTTCGCAGACCGGGCAAGGCGGAGGCGCAGCGCACCTGTGCTTCACCAGCTGGATGCGGCCAGGCAGATTTTGCAAGTTTGGCACACCGTGCGCCTGGCGCAGCTACTCCTCTTTCCCACCTCCGTCCCTCCTACCTGCGCAAGTCAGAAAGAGGGAGGAGAGAAGGCGTGGAGTGGGTTTTACACACATCGCACCAATCAAATGAGCCCCTCTCCTCCCCCTTAAATGTGTCGCATGAAGGCATAACGAGAGTTTACTCAATTCGTCATGGCAAAAGAGAGCAGCAGCGTCAGATGGCCAAACTTCTCCCAGGAGGAAACTGATGTTTTGGTCCGGGAGGTCCAAGTTCGCAGTGTCCGAATATACGGAACTGCGAGCAGACCTCCACGGGCTGATGATGCAAAGGTAGCCTGGGAGGAGGTCACCACAATTGTAAATCAATGTTGCGTTTCTCTCGTGCGCGCGCTCTCTCTTTCTCTCTCGCAGTTTCACTCTGTCTCTTTTCTTTTGACTTTTCTAAGATGACAGATGCTGAATATATACTCCCTATCTGATGCTGTGGCCGTTTGTGGTTGGCTGAGAAGGATGTGAACTCATTAGTTTGCAGCTGTGTTAATCAAATCAGGTTGGGTTTCCATTACGCGTGCCAAACGTGCCAAACGGTGCCAATCCCCTTTGATCTGACATCAGATGTGACGGGACAGTCGATATAGAGATACATTTATTTGCTGATTGCAGATAGTTGCATTGAATAGTGATTTTTGTGGGTATTTATTGCATCATTAATGTGCCTGATATTCTGGAAACCCGCCTGTGAGGTTTGGTGACGTGTGTGCACTGTCCGCCGGTCAGCCAAACTTCCACT